CAGGCCTGAGAAGATATCCACTTACACATACATTATCTTAGGGGTATGCAGTTGCTCAGAAATAAAGTAAAGTAACGTAATTTAGAATATTCTAATATGCAGGAACACAGTAATTTAGTACCAGTCTATTTGCCTTCGTTAGAATTTTCTTTTAGAAGAGTTTGTTTTTGTCATAAGTCTGATCTTTACCACTACTAGTATAAGAGGCTGTGCTTTAGCATGGCATTTGTTGAGCTGGTGCAAGACCCACCTCCTCTACCCAGTTTAGTAGCGTCCAAGCACAAAGCAACTAACAGCAGTTTGTACCTGCTTTTGCGTAAGTGCATTGGTGCCCTGTGTGCATTGTACAAACCCCAGGGGAAGCCGCTGCTCCGATTTAACCAACGCCTCAGTTTCCCAGTTGTTCTCCCAAAGGCCAGGATTACTCTGAAGTGCAGACGCAGAAACGTGTCCTCCTTAAGGCATACACAGTTATGCAGCACTTAACTGTGGAGAGGCAGACACCAGCACAAAGGTCCCAGGCCAAGTACACTTATCAGACATCATAAAAAACATCGCATCACTTCAAAAAATTCTACAGTTGTTCATGTGTTGTACGTTGATGGATTTCCTCAGCCATCAAACCAAATTTTATGAACTTTGCATTTACTTTTGGGACTGAGCCATAATAAATTTTAATTTGCAGTGCCTGTGGCTTTGTCTATTGCTTCAAAACCTGCAGATACACAGTAGAGCTCAGAGGTACAGCTTATTAAAGCTCTGTTTTTAACTGGGGACCAAGGCACGAGGGCATAGCTCACTGCTTGTGTTACAGACTGGTAATTTCCGTTTCCTACGCCATGCTGCGTTTCCTTTACGCCAGTTTCTCCTCTCCTGAAGCAAGGAAGAGTTCCCACACATAAGCACGTGTTGCTTCTCTGCAGCTAATCCAGGTACATAATAACACAAGAGAAAGGCGCCTTTGAATAGTTTACTATCACCAGCTAACATGGCTACCAGTTTTCTCCCAGGAATGGAAAGCGTCTAGCAGCTAGCCCGGAACCTAGTACTGTCTGCATAGCTTAAATTTAAGAGCAAGCAAGAGAAATTGGAAATACGGTGACTTTATGGCAGCTGTGCTAGACTTGCTTCTGTTCCGATTGTGAAAAGCCTAATAGCAGATCAACTGACAATTCCATTTCCCATTTGTTTCCTTTGAAAGTATTTTGTGCACAGTCATGTTTATATGAAAATGAGTCAATATCCTTAAGCATTTGCCTTCACACATATTAGACCCGAGGTATAAGTTTGACAGTTTGCCTCAGAACAGAATAAGGCCCCCCCCCCCTTCATTAATTCAATATTGTTTTCCATAGATTTAGTCTGTGGCCCGGTCAAGCTTGAGGTTTTAAATATCTACTGACCACGTATCTGCTCTGTAGTGGAGGCTCTTCAATATGCCTATTAGCTAGGATGCTAGGGATTCACAAAACAGTGAAACACTCCTAATTCGTACATGAAAGTTTTCTATTCCCAGAAAGGAACATTTAGTATTCCAGAAAACTGGACAGATCAGCTGCTAGTGTTGGGCACCAGGACTCCTCCCTGAGCTGCAGTACAGCCAAGTAACTCAGCCCCCCTGTTTTACAGGTACTGCTTCTTATCCAAGAGAGAACTCCTCCTGCTCCTCTCTGTGGGGACGCACAGGGGAAAAGGTCTCCTGGTGTGCTCATAGCCACTGCTGGAGACTAGCAATGGCAGTATCCAGAGAAATGGGCACACAGCTACAGGGCAGCTGCCAGAACCAAAGGCGAGCCCTCAGCCCTCGTGCAAGACCACCCAGTGAAGGCACTGCCAAAGAAGGGCCAGCACCAAAGCTGCCTGGCAGCACGCAGCCCGTCACCTCCCTTCTTCCCTGGGACAGGCAGGAGTGCAGGATCCCGCTGTCCTCTGCAAGGGCCTTCCCTGGCTCCAGGCTGCTGCAGAGGGGTGCGGGCAAGAGTCCGGCAGCACTTGCTGGGTGACTGACACGCTCCTTCCTAGCCCTCCAGGTCAGCTTGTTACGCGGGGCTACAGACCTGCTAAAGTGGAAGAGCCCTTCACCCATGGGGTGACAAAACTGCACCAGCAGCAGCAACTAGTTTTACTGCAACTAATTCTCCTGAAGCTTTGACTCACCTCTGTCCCAAGGACCCTAACAGGAAAGGTGGTGGGAACTGTACTGAGTGGCACCACCTGCTGTCCAGCAAAGGGAAAACCCCAAGATCATGCTGGCACAACACCCACTCTGCTTTCTATCTGTCAGCGTGCTGAGCTGCATGGCACCAGTGTTAGGGATGCTTAAAGCTCCAACTTTCCAAGCACTTCAGTTTGGCAAGGCCTGAACATCACCCTTAGCACAGTCACACAAAGTATCCTTCCACTCAGTTCCTCAGCTTACGTAAACAGAGACATATTTATGTTCCTAGCAAGGGTCTCTTCCTGAAATATGGTTCACAGCAGTCCAGTTGGCTCCAAAACACACCGCTAACTAGATTGTAGTGATGGTCATGGTAGCATCATGCAGTCTCAGTGCTTTTGCAGAGAAAGCTCGAGTTACCTTTATAGTAGGAGGACAACAGGCTACGCCTCAATACTCCACTCATATATTTATGTAAGCATTTGGCATATTCTGATCATCCATTTCCTCCCCAAACGTATTCCCTTATCCACGTGGCCCGAGTCTAAGCGAGGGTGGCACAACAATGAAGTCAAATGGATGCAGACAGAGTGTACAAGCAAGCCTGGTTGTTTTGCAGTCTTTGATTTCTCTCCTATTTCCTTTCAGGCACATCTGAATTCTGTGTTCTATTGCAAGTCTTGCTCCATTAGGAAGTTACTCTTACAGATACTGTTAAAAATAAACATAGTATACAGACAATACATACTTGACTAGGATTTCTGTGTAATGAGAAAGCAGTCCCAAGAAACTCGAATTATTATAGTATCCTCCAGCATTCACTGAATGGCTAACACGGTTATGACAACACTACACACAGACATTCAGTGAGGTCTAATTGTTCATGAAACATGCTACCCCTTAGGCAACCCTAATTAAGATCAGAAAAGAAAAGAAAGGACTTTGGTTTAACAGAGTCACTTCAGATACCCAAAATCTGATTTAAAGATAAATTTACTACTTAGGATCCAGTCCAGTATCACCTTAGTAGCATCCCTTGGAGAGGGGGTTTCAAAAGGTATATTGGTGAAAGAAAATTAGGGGTTCAAATAAAGCTCTACCTGCCTGCTAGCTCACACTGTTCCTTAGTGAACGCTTATCTCTTTTTTTTGCCCACAAAAAAAGTGGGCAAAGTACACTAAAGCGTACTAAATAAGTACACTAAATAACAGAGCTTG